GGGCACCGGCACCGTCAGCCCCACGGCCGGGGCCTCCCCTGCCCCACCGCCCCCTGCGCCCCTTACCCGACATCTTTGATCTCCACCTTGCCGGGGTCCAGCTCCACGTACTTCTTCTCCTCGAACACACGGGAGATGGTGGGGCCCAGGACAGCGTGCAGGTACGGCATCCCCGTCACCTGCCAGGGGACCGCACAGGGGACGGTGATGGGGGGTGATGGGGGGCACAGCCACACGTTTGGCACCTGACACCCCCAGACTCCCCGATAAAGTTCACCCAGGGAGTTTTTCATCAACTTCCCAGCCCTAGGGGAAGTCACATTCCCACCAGCCCACCCAGTACCACACCCACACACCCCACCCCCACCCCCCAGGAACCGGTCCCAGTGGGGACAGCCCAGAGGCAGGGGGACCTGGGAGAAGAGCAGGTTTCGGGCAGTGTGGCACCTTGAGGAAGGACTCCATCGACTTTGAGGCCAGGGAGTTGCTCCGGAACAAAGTGTTGGGCTCGCCTGCAAAATGGGAGAGGGTCTGTGGCCTGGGGGACGTTCACAGGTCACCCACCAGGCAGCTGCAATCATGGGGGGGGGGTCAGGGGCTGTGCCCTCCACTCCCAGCCATTTCCATGGGTGTTATGGGTATTTCCTAACCTCAGACCACCTGCTCCTCTATCAACCTCAGCCCCTGAGTGGCTCAGGATGAACCCAACAGGTTCCCACCCAGAGCACAGCGTGATGGCTGAACCTCAACCGCCACCCCCAAAAAAGTCACCGCACAAGGTCCCAGAGGTTTTGCAGCCCCAGGAGATGGTTGGAAAGCCTCCGGCTCTGCTCCCTGCTCCAGCCTTACAGGGCTTGGCCAGCTCCAGCTCGAAGAGCAGGTCCAGGAACTCCTTGACCAGCCCTTGGCCCAGGAAGAGTTTGACCAAGTTGATGGCGACCTCCTGCCGGCACTCGGCCGTGGTGGTTTCATCCAGGAGGGTAACCAGGTGCACTTGGCCGTCCTGGTGGGGAGAGGCACCATGACGTGATGGCCCGAGGGAAGCGCATGCTCCGGCAGAGAGCTGGAGGAAGGTGGGTGCCCCGGCAGGGCTTTGCACAGACCCCTCACCTGGCGCCCCGACTTCACCTCCTGGCACAGGAGCTGGACCAGGGGCTGGTAGCAGTGGGAGGGCAGCACCGTCTCGTCCCGCAGCCTCACCTGCAGCTGCAGGGAGCCCAGGCTGCCTCGGCGCCTGCAGGAGCACAGGGTGGGTGGAGGGATGGAGAAGTACTTCACCAAGCAGGAGGTGACCTAACAGCCCAGGAAAGCCCGGGCAGGCAGGTGGGGCCGCCCTGTGCTTGCCCCCTTCTCCCACACAAGGGCATTTCCAGGAGCTGCCCCTCCAAGGGGATGATGCTTCCCCTCCCCAACACCCCTGTGGGCACCAGGACCACCTCTGGCACACCCCAACCCCTGCCATGCTGAGACTCACTCGTCCTCCCTTGGCTTGGACTTGTCTGGCCACAGTCTGAACCAGCCCTCCTCCTGCCCGGCCGCCTCCAGCCCCTGGATGCTGAACACCACCTGGGAGGGGAGGGCAGGAGAGGGTTGGGTGGGCAGCTGGGCAGACACCCCCCCCGGCAGCAGTGACGAAGTTTGGGGGCTCACCTTGCCCAGGAAGTCGTTCCTGCCGACGAGGTCCCAGTCCCACACCTCCACGCACAGCTTCTCCCCGGCGGGCTCAGCCAGCTCGAACTCAAAGGTCTCGTTCCAGCGGGGGTAGCAGGATTTCTTGACCACCTGCAAAGGCAACAGCTCCATTCCCCCTTGCTGGGTGGATGTGACACCCCCCGGGGACACCAAGCTGGGGGTGCTGAGGGACAGGGATGGCTCCTGGCTGAGCTCTGGGCTTCCCGGTGGGATGGTTTCACCTGCACCACCGGCAGGTTGGGGGAACACGATACACTGAAGTCAAACTCACGGTGCTCTCCTGTGCCTTCCCGTTGTAGCGCAGGCGGACGAAGGGGTCGGAGGCACCATTCCGGTCCTTCCTGGCCAAATCCCTGCCGAGGAGAGGGGGAATTTGCCAGCAACCTCCCAAAATACCTACAGGCATCCACTCTCCTCCTCAGTTCTGGAGATGCACACCCTAAAGACCAGCAGACAAGGTGGACCCTGCCCCAGGACCCCTGTCAGCTGCTGGGCGGTGGGGAAGATGCTCTACACCCAAGGGAGGATAACTGAGAAGACCCAGATACAGTGGGGAAACTGAGGCACGGAGCAGTCGGGACCCACCACCGGACATGTCCCAGCTGCACACACAGCCCCCTGCCACCCCCGTGTCCCCTCCTCACCTGGCCTCCAGCACAGTGCAGCGCAGCAGCCGCCGGCTGCCCTGGCTCCCCAGGACCTCCACCCGCAGGTGGATCTCCCCCTGCACCTCCTCGTCAGGGTCCACCT